AAAACATTGACTAAAACTGGGACTAAATCAGGTGGATAGAGAAAACAAACCATTTGATGTCAATTTGATGTGATCCAACACAGGCTAGCTGCTGTATATTGTATTTATATTTACCCACATACTTGATGGCTTATAATCTTCAAGTGAAATGAAGTTGAGTTTTAATGTCCGTCATTTTTTAGTGTGAAAAATTGGGGATATGGAGTAAAACCATGTGAAGACAATGAGATGCAGGGATTCTAACACCCAATGGGTGAGAGTTGACAGCCCAGAACCAGATTGGTTTAAATATCTGAGGATCACCTATTCATTGTGTCCTTAAGGGAAATCATTGTAGGCAGACATGGCAAGTAAATCATCTCGGTGTGGGGACGCCTGCAAAGTATCTGCATACCCCATAGAAAGTAAGTAGTTACATTCCTAGTATTTGCTTAAAAGCTGCTACATAATCCATGCGAAACGAGATACAATACATTGGCAAAAGCATTTGCTCACATATCCCAAGGTGTTTCAATCACTTTCATGGTCACAGTTGAATAAAATCAAGCACATAGACATGCAGACTGTTTGTGAAAAAATAGGTCCCTCTCAGGAGCTCAGTGAATTCCAGCTTAGACACTGTGATAGGATGCAACCTGTGCGACAAATATAGGCTTAACATTTCCTTACTTAAAAGCTCCGAGCCAGCTCCCATGTCAGAGGATGAAGAGAGTATATCCAGCCAGTCACAGTCAGAGAAACAGGACTACACTGTAAAACAGCCCAAGCTCCAACATCCACAAAGTTGTTGATGGCAGCAGAACAGCTGATATTTCTCTAAAGGATGGTGTTACCTTATTCTTATCTTGATATACTGTATATACAGTGCTTGCTTGTTTATTCTTAAAGCACCTTTTCCTCCTTGTTTGCACCTTCTTTAATTACTATGCCAATATGTGACCAGTGAATTTCTCCGCTGTGAGATCAATAAAGATAATCTAATCATCTAATCTAATCTAAAGAGGAACAGACAAGATAAATCTACTATGAGAAAAAGCAGGGAGAGCATAGCATTAGAGATTGAACTAACAGATTCTGCAGAGTGAAAGAATAGAGATAGAATTAAGCAGAATGATGAAAAAGGGGTCCCTATGTCCTCCAGCAGTCTAAGCCTTTAGCAGCTTAACTTTAGAGATAGCACTGGATAACCTGAGCCACTCTAACTATAAGCATTAGCAAAAATAAAAGTTTTAAGCCTAGCCTTAGAGTAGACAGTGTGTCTTCCTCATGGACTAAAACTGGTAGTTGGTTCCAGAGGATAGGAGCCTGATAACTAAAAGATCTGCCTCCCATTCTATTTTTAGGAATTCTAGGAACCCCTAGTAAACCTGCAGATTGAGTGAAGTGCTCTGTTAGGAACATAAGGAACAATCAGATCTCTGATAAAAGATGGATCTTGGGCATTTAAGGCTTTATATGTGAGAAGGAGGATTTTAAATTCTGGATTTAACAGGAATCCAATGAAGAGAAGCCAGGATAGGAGAGACATGATCTCTCTTTTAAATCAGATGAGGATCAGCTGAAGGCTTTTAACTACAGCTTGTGGACTTCCTGATAGTAAAGAACTGCAGTAGGCCAGACTTGGTGGAACAAATGCATGGACTAGCGACTTAGCACCACAGATGGACAGGATATTTCAATTTGTTTTGCAATATTCTGCTGCTGAAAGAAGGAAATTCTGGAAACCTTTTTCATATGGAGTTTAAATGACAGGTCCTGATCAAAAATAACACCAAGATTTTCTATTTTAATATCTGAGATCAATTTAATCCCATCCAAATGAAGTGACTGACGAATCAGCTCGTTTTTCAAAGACTCTGATCTGAAGACTATAGGTTCTGTTTTGTCTGCATTCAGGAGCAGAAGGTCAAGAGTCATCCAGGTTCTTCTGTCTTTAAGACATGCCTGTAATCTATGTAATGGGTTAGCTTCATCTGGATTTATAGACAGATATAGCTGAGTATCATCAGCATAACAGCAGAAATTAATCCAATGCTGTCCAATAATTCTACTGATTTGGAGCATATATATATAGCAAAGAGAATTGGTCGCAGCACTGATCCTTGTGGTACTCCACAGGTAACCCTAGAGCCTGAGGAAGATTTATCATTAACGTGAACAAACTGAAATCGGTCAGACAGATCTTATTCATATTATCCTGTCATGATCGCAGCTCTGTTAACTGATCCAATTGCTCACTTCACTCACCTGCCATACCAACCCAACTCACTAACTATCACCTGCTCCTTCTGCTTTACAGTTCAAATCAGCTATCAGGACCAGCTCATTGATGATTGTTTTTTTTTTTGCTTTAGTTTGAGTCTTTTCCATAGTTTTCTGTTCCAGTTCTTGGAGAACAGTGGTTTAAGAAGATTCTTTTCTCTTGTCTTGGCATTTCCTTAATATGTCCTGGCTCTTGTCCGCTAAGCATGCTCTGTTCCTGTTTTGGGTTCGTCTGGGGAGAGCTCTGTAGTTCTGGCTCTTATCCTCTGATCGTGCCATGTTCCTGTTTTGGCTCAGAGGAGGGAGCCAATTTCAAGTTCCGTAAATTTTCTTATGTCATGTCATGTTTCTGACTCTCAACTGCGGAGCCTGCCTATTTCCGTCTGACCGTGTCTGCCTGAGCACTCTGCTGGACTCATGGAATCCTGAACCTGCCTGAACGCTCCGTGGCTTCCTGGAGCCCTGGATCTTTCTGTTCCTGTTTGGATCAGCACCAATGGCTGGGTTGCAGACTCCTGGATCTCAGAACCATCCTGTTCTTAGTTGTTTGTCTGACCTGGCTCAGACACCTGCCTGTTCACCAGGGCTCCTGCATCGGGGACACTCTTGGCAGTCCATTGGTCTGATCCAACCTCACCTAAGAGGATGGGCTGAACTATTAAACCAGTTAAGTGACTCACATGGATCATCATGTTTCTCCCTCAACCAGACTGTCAGTGCTGGGTGGCGCCCTGCCTCCCCCTGCAGTCGCCACAGATCTTCAGATCCTCAGCTCTGCGTTCTACATCTGTTATTTCCTTTTGTTGGATTAGTTTGGAACTTTCCCACTGCCTGTCTCGCCTGAATACTGGGTCCTACATTCTGGGATTCGATGACATACCCTAGAGGAAAAATATGCTGATCTTGCTTTATGAAGGGTCCTCTTATACAGCAGTAAACTATTTTTCCAGACAAGCTAGGATTCCTGTAGGCAAGTAGAGGGCCATTTTTTCTCCAGTTTTCTGACATCTTTTTTCAGAGTGCACAGCTCTGCATTAAACCAGGTAGCCCACTTTCTATTTTTAAAGTTTTTCTTTTTAAAAGGGGCTGCATTGTCTAAGGCAGTATCCAGACAACTAGCAACCCTATCCGCAAAATGATCACTATTAAGGAAAATAAAATAAGCTTTTGCCCTCTGCAGCACATCTTAGAGGAGAGAGAAAGTGAAGCAGATTCTTTAAAATTCATAACTGCACTATCTGATAATGATCTGCTAAAGTGAAACCTTCTTATGGAGGAGGAGAACTCTGGTAAAGTAATGCTGAAATGTATTAAAAAGTGGTCAGAGAGGACAGGGTTGTGAGGAAAAACTGTTATTGCCTCCCATTAAATGCCATATGTCAGCACAAGGTCCAAAGTATGAGGATGAGAATGTGTGGTACTATTCACATTTTGAGCAAAGCTAATCACATCTAAGATAGCATTAAAGGCTGCAGTTAAGCTATCACCTTCACTGTCATCATGGATGTTAAAATCGCCCATTATGGTGACCCTGTTAGTATTCAACACCAAATCAGATAGGAACTCTGAAAACTCATCCAAAAATTTAGAGTAAGGACCTGGTGGACGATACAAAGTTACAAAAAGAAGAGGTTTTGTGGCTTTGCAATTGGATGAGGGAAACTAAGGGTTAAATGTTCAAAAGAGTTGTAATTTTTCACTGACTTTGGAGTAATCAGTATGTCAGACAGTATGTCAGACATGCCCAGAAATTTCTGTAAGGCAACATGAATCAATGGGATTATCACAAATGTCAATAACTATCACACCTTTTCAAGGAAGATATCTTCTGTTAAATAAACCACATTTAATCAAATCATGGTGTTTGTGTTCATGTGGGGAAGTGTTTTTCCAGCTTACATTCCATTAATAGAGATTGTGTGCTAGGATTAGGCCATCTTAAGACAGGTTAGTTTTACACTACTGATAATGTGTTGTTGAATTAGTATCAATAGTAACCATATCAAAACATATGTAACATATGTTGCTGAATATTGTTTTTATTCTTATTATAAACCTACAGAAAAGTGAAAGACATGGATGGAGTGACTTCATCAATCAACACATCCTCAATAAACACCCAGAATATGACGTGTAATCCAATGGAAACATCCAAACACCCTTTCCTTATCTTTGTCTACTCTCTTCTGTTTCTGGTAAGAATCTTTTCTTTGGGTTTTACTGCCTTTAAAGGGGTCATAGAATGATTATATAGGGTATTTGGTGCTGGTCCTTAAGGTCTCTGAATAGGGTGTTTTGGGCTGAAAATGGCATATTTGCTGTTCTATGCGCCGTGATCAGTGATGGGAGGACTAACGCCGTTACCTTTTTTTAGTAACGAGTAATCTAACTAATTACTTTGACTGTAACTATAACAGTTACCATTGCCGAGACCTGGTTACTGCACGTTACTCAGGTCGCACAATTAACCTTTTTTCATGATAGGACTTGTGCGCGCCTTGTCATGAGAGACGGGAGGATGAGAATGGCTGATGTGTAGTGAGATTATGTCTGTCAGTTGGGTAGGTGGGTGTTTCCACTTGTGGGTGTTAACTTACAGCACACACAGAGAGATGGAGGGTGAGGATGACTCCAGCAGCAAAACAGCGTTTTCCAGATGGAAATACCGGTGTTACGTCGAGCTGCATTTCCCCATCAGATACGGTTTCCCCTGCATCTCCGCACAGCGCAGGCGGCACGAGTCACCACAGGGGAACTACGGAGAGCGTGAACGATCAAATGTTAGCCTATATGGAGAAAGGGAGAAATCGGGATGGATGGATGGATGGATGGACACAGGATTTCAGAAAAAGACATTCCCAGTTATTAATTTCATATACTCACCAGATCTGAACACCCTGTTAAAAGACTTGAGTAGAGCTAATGCAGCCTAATTATATTTACACTGCATCAGATACCGTTCCCCCCATGTTAAGCTTGTTAGATGCCCAACACTGGCCCTGATGCAAGCCTGGTTAAAAGCAATAGAATAAAACAATAGGTTTTCTTCCTTTTATGGTATGCTCATTTAGATGAGCTGTGCGCTGATTGGTTGGTTTACAATGAGCGAAGCTGCTGAGCAAAGACGCATCATTGCAACAAGCACTCACTCACTTAAATATCAAAATTGTTGATACGCAGGGTGACCAGACGTCCTCTTTTTCCAGAACATGTCCTACTTTTCATACCTAAAAGTGTCCGGGGGGAATTTTAAAGTCGTCCGGGATTTTAGTCGACTACAGTGCAGCAAAACCGAACCGTGAGCTCCTGCGCTGGTCCCGGAACTCCAGCGGATGGGGAAAGGGAGCCAGCAGGCGGGGGGAAAGCACAGGTGCCAGGGCTACCGCCACCAGGTCAGGTTCGGTTGCTTCATCCCCCGCTGACCACCTCCATGCCGGCGCCCCGGGGAGCAGCGGAGACAAGTCTGCGGGCTCCGCCGGCAGCCGGCCACCCTGAAGTAGGGCCGGGCACCAAACACCGGCCCCCCCACGGCACCGACCGAAATGCTCCGGCTCCACAGAGCACCAAAACACGCCCCACCCCCCAGCACCAAACTTTGGCGACTGGCTGCAACACCCAACGCGACCGCGCCACCCAGGAATAACACACCGGCGGCCACGCCTACAGCCAGGGCCCACCAGCATCCGCTGCGAACCGGCAGCGAGCGCCACGGGACCCCCCCAAAACGCCCCCCAGGCCAACAGCGCGGCCCCACCCCACCAAGACC